CGGCCGCACGCCGCTTGGCCGTGGCCCAGAGGCTCGGCGGAGGCCGCGGCGCGGGAGGCCGGCAAGGCCGGAGTCAGGCCAGGCGGCGACGGGACGGTGCACAGGGACGGAGGGGCGCAGCCGCCCGGCACGGGGAAGCCCACGCGCTGCCCTTCCAAGTTTTTTCCGTTTTAATTTCCCTTATGGTAAATATTAACAAGTATAAACTCCATAAAGACACGTTCTTTGAGGACGTCAATAATTTTTAAGAATGTAAATGGGTCCTGAGATCAAAATTTTTAAGAACCAATGTCTAAAGGATCTGCTATAGGAAGAAGGAAGGTAAGCCCAAGAAGAAGAAGGGGACACTAAAAGCAGTGGGCTTTGTTATAGTATTTTCTGATTGCTTGGGACGTTTCACAATTAAAGTTTATTTTTTATTTAATTTATTTTATTTTTATTTTTGTGTGTCTGTGTGTGTGACCAGTAAGGTGATCGTAACCCTCGGCTTGGTGTCGCCCACACCACACTCAGCCAGTGAGCGCACCGGCCATCCCTATATAGGATCCAAACCTGCGGCCTCGGCGCTCCCAGCGCCGCACTCTCCTGAGTGAGCCACGGGTTCAGCCCACAATTAAAGTTTATTAATCAAAGAATAATAAACGGAAGGTGGAGAAGGGCAATAGTGAGTGTAGACGATTGTTTCCTTGTAAAGGAGAAGCAGAAGCAGGTGGACACAAGCCGCCCTGCTCAGAAGGAAGCGGACGCTGCCCGCTGTATCATCTGGTACACCTGGGCATATAGGCGCCACGAACACTCGAAGCATCTGAACCCTGTAAGTTTGCATTTGTACATCTCAGTGGGTCCTTTTAGAATTTTTAGTAAGCTTTCAGTGCACTTTGAAAAAATGGTGTGAGCCATTTTTAGACCCACACCTTGGAACATTCCACATACCTTCCTCCACAAATGTATCAGTCCATTTGTGTTGCTGTAACAAAAATACCTGATACTGGGTAATTTATCAAGAACAGAGGTTTATTTGGCTAATAATTCTGGGACAGCTGCATCTGGCACAGGCCTCAGGGCTGCTTCTAGGCATGGTGGAAAGTGGCAGGCAGCTGGGGGATACAAGCTGATCACATGGTGAGAGGAACTGAGTGGGGAGGGGGAGGGAGAGATATCTCACAGGAACTAATAGAGTGAGAACTCACTCATTAATCTCCCCTCCCCCAGGGAGAGCACTAATCCATTCATGAGGGATCCGCCCCCATGACTCGAGCACTAATCCATTCATGAGGGATCCGCCCCCATGACTCGAGCACTAATCCATTCATGAGGGATCCGCCCCCATGACTCGAGCACTAATCCATTCATGAGGGATCCGCCCCCATGACTCAATCAGTTTCCAACACTGCCACACTGGGGATCAATTTCCACATCAATTTTGGAGGGGACAAGACATCCAAACTCCAACAACTTTTCCCCATTCCTGCAGTGAAGGGCAACGTACATCATCCTGGCCACTTTGGAAGCCACCAGTGGAGATGGCAGTGCCCCCTACATGATCCTGCATGGCATCCTACATGATCCTGCAGCCCAGCTGGAGCAAGTACTCCAGACTGCAACATGCCTGCTGCACTCCAGCCCTGTTTGTGAAGCACCATAAGCCTGCTCTATTTAAGCCATGCATTAGCTGTGTGACTTTGGACAAACAACCTAAACATACTGTGGCTCAGTTTTCTCATATATAAAATGGGGAGAGTAGCAAGTTCCTAGTAAGTTTGGTTAGAGGATTAAAAGATATAATAAGCACTAAATTAATATTAGTTACTGTTGTTATCTATAATAAATGTTATTATCTAGGAGAGCAGAACTTTGCCAAATTTGTCTAGGCTCTTAAGGTAAAGAGGCTGGGAGCATGCACAGGGCGTCTTGCTCCCAGAACCTCCCCTTGTGTGTGTGAGCAAGACAGAGGCTGAGAGTGTGGCAGGGGCGCACATGTGAGAGACAGTGTGTGGTGGGGGGTGGTGTGTGGGTGCAGTGGGAGCAGTGGGCAGCGCTTACATGATAGGTGATGGGTGCAGGCCTTCATGTGGCCCTCGAGACCTTCTTCCCCCTCTACCATCTCACCTCACAGTCACATGGGTTGGCTGCAGGGAAGTGTCCCTAAGAAGGAAGACAGGTAGTGAGTCCTAGGATGGAAGTTTCCAGCAAGCAGGTGCAGCCAGCTTGCTCTGGGATGGAGAGGTCCAGGCAGGTCTCCCCTCAGGAGCTCTGAGGGAGCAGGTTGTAGGCTCTGAATTACAGCTTTCCCCGGGCTGTGACCAGAATCTGCAGTGATATCAGAGACATACTCCAGCCCCCCTCTTCAGTCTATCTCATCATGTGTGTGAAGCCTGCCATTCTCTAAATGAAGGACCCCAAGGAGGAGGAAAAAAATGTTGTTTTACACCTAAAAGTCAGTGTCTAGCTCTAGGTATGTTTTGGACTTCCTCAGTGGAGACAGCCAAGGGGGACTGGAGAGATCTTGCAGGTCAAAAAACATGTCATAGAAGTCAATGCCATGTAGAGATGTGGCCATAGATGAGGCTATCTGGACCTGCTCCAAAGAAGCTGTGCCAGGAGGTGATAATGGAGAACTGGGAACTTGATCTCAATGCTGGACATTGTTTCTCTGAGCCAGATGTGATCACCTTACAGAGTACAGAAAAGAGCCCTTGATGGCTATGAGAGAAGGAGCAAGAAGACAGTGCATACTTATGTTTTGGCTCAGCTAGTGGAGATGTTTTGTTACCTTGAAATGGAGTTCTTAAAGGAAACGGTAAGAAAGTATTTGATTTTCTAATAGGAATTACATATTTTCCAAATGTGCAGTCAAGGTATGAGCTAATCAGTTATGGAAAAATGTCCACTTATAAAAAAATACACATCTCCTATTCTGCATTGAAGAATTCAAAATAGAGTGACACCCACTGACTGTAAGGAATGTGGAAGCCCTTTGGTCTAGGTGCAGCCTTATGTTACATAAGGGAATTCATATTGGAGAGGGACCCTGTCAACAGGATTAACATGTGAGGGCCATGTGCACATCACCGTTCTCGACATCAAAGTACTTATGTTGCTGAGAAACACTTCGAGTGTGACAAATGTGGGAAGTTCTTTAGACTCAACTCAAGCCTCAAAGTACATCTTAGAATTCATAATGATGAGAAAGTCTTTGAACAAAATAATGCAAGACAGCTTATAAATGTGGCAGGCAATGTCATAAACATCAGAATGGTGCAAACTCCCTCCAATTAATAGGATATGGGAAGTTCTTTAAATATGGTTCAGTCCTTAGGAGAAATCAGGGAGTTCGTACTGGCATAAAATTCTAGGAATATATCTAATGTAGGAAATCCTCCAGTAGTGGCCCAAACCTTGTCCAACATCAAAGCATTCATCATATGCTTTATTTAACATGAAAAGCCTATTCCTGTATAATTATTTTGTAATTGGCCACTTTACTGAATACCCTCATATTTCTAAGTCATTCCACAATGCTACACTCAGAGTAGCACTCAAGAATTAATTTTTGAACAATTAAGTGAATGAATAGGTTCTCTTGTAGTTTCTAGGTAAATGATCATATTGATTGCAAAGAATAATAGTTTTGTTTTTGTCTGTCCAGTCTTTATAATGCTTTTCTTCCTTGTACAAATGTTCTTTTAGACACTGAGAAATATGCGTAACATACTGCAGTAATGTGCCTGATGATGGTATCAACGTGCCAAAGACTCTTTGGGCTACAAACCACAGAAACCCACACGAGTTAGTTTAAGCAAACATGAGAAGCACAGATGCTCCAAGGCCAGAATAGACCTGAGCTCAGGACTGGCAGGAAGCAAGGTCTGCAACACTATGAGGTGCTCAAATGGTCCTCTCTTGATTCTCATATCTTTTCTTGTTTTCCATCCAAATGGCTATTGATGGGCAAAGACAACACCTAGTTTCTGTGTTACAGATTAAGCCACTCAGGGTAAGAACCTTTTTCACATTCCCAGAAAAGAATGCATTGCCTTATAGGTAAGTCCCCTTGGGCCTATCATCCGCAGTCAGAGGTGGGGATTGTGCTGGTCCCAGCTTGGGTAAGGCAGCCACCAATCAACTGTACTAGTGGTAGGAGGTGAAGGGGCCAGGGCCCTTCTTACAAACATTCCAACAATGTGGGTGGAGGAGAGAAAGGTTACCCTTAGAACAGAGGCATTGAGAAAGTGACCCCAAAGTCACCCACAGCATATAGCAAATGCTTGCAGAGCTCTCTGTGGTTTATTAAGAGCTGTCTCACATTATCTCAGTTGCTCAGTCCTTCATGGTAAGGGTTTCTTTTCAGTGTCCATTTTGCACATGAACAGCCCAAGGCTCAAGGAGGTGCAGTGACTTTTCCAAGGCCATAGAATTACTAAATCAGGCACCCAAACTCTAGATTCCATTCTCTAAGACTTCAGTCTATCAGGCTGTTGACACATAGCAACTACCATAATCTTACACCCAGTTAGATCTCTGGCATCATTAAAGTCTTGAATAAGTCAAAAATAAACTTCTGATTTTTGATACTTCCAAGGGGATGTTAAGCACTATGTTAAGCACTATGTAATGGATGCACAGAACGTCTACCAGCATCCTCTACAAGCAACACTAAACATCTCCTGCAAGCACACACCTTCCTCATACAGGGTAGAAACCAGGAGAAACTTCTGGAGAGTGAATCTATGATCAGAGTCATATAGGCCTCATGTTGAATTGAATTGGAGTATTTCTGGTTCCTCTTCTATCATGATGCTCCCCAAGAAATATGATCATTCTCAAGATTGTCTGAAAGTAAACCCAACCAAAATTTTGATGTTGTAAATGTTTCCACTCCTAAGTATTAATCTCTGACATAAAAACTGAAGCCAGATAATTTTTACATTGACTCTCTGAAATTAAAAGGGCAACACATTTGTCTCCCTCCGTGGCTGTTTCTCCTGAAATTCAAATTCTTCCCACTCAGTTCAGGGTATCAAGGCCCAGCATCGCTAACTCACACAATCTGGGCTGCTTTGTTCGTGCCTTAACTCTGATCCCAGCAGGGTGGCACACTCAAAAGAAACCAAATGTCTCTGCAAGAAAAACCATCACACACTTCATCACCGAGGGTCGTACAAGAACGGGGAATTGCACCATGTGACATACGGTCTATGCCACTTCTTTGGCATTTATTGGGCTCCCTAAAGTCCCAACCAAGTGAGCTGCCCACCCAGCACCAAGGCTGTCCTTCCTCCTGTCTGCTTTCTCCTCTTCACCAATAGCTCTGTCCTCTTCCTGTTATAAATCATTTGAGCCTCTTATTTTCTTCCATTCTCAGATCCATCCATCCATTACCCTGATCAACACAACTGGCTGCAGGGCACAGCAACACAGGAAGGTAGCTGGGAAAGGAATAGAAAATGCTGATCCTTGTTATTCTCATCCCTGTCGCAAATATATCAGCAACAGGAGACCAGCGGTCATGTTCCTGGGAGAGACAGAAGCAGCACTGTGGAGAAGCAGCACTGCAGCTTAACCCACCAACCTGGACCCACTACCAGCTCCCTTCACCACCACTTTTACACAGGTAGAGCTATAAGGTGCCAGAGCTGAGAGACTTAATGACCAGTGCCCAACAAGTCTCAGGATTCTCAACAGATGGGAGAAATGGTGTGGAAACAATTTAAACTCCACATGGCTAAATCAATCTCCAGATTCTAAGACTCTGCCCTGTAAAGTCAGCATTGGTAGGAGCGCATCACACTCTGCAAACATGTCAGGGACAACAGTAGCCAGAGACCTCAGACATTGTGGCTCCCACAGATGGCAGACGTCAGGATCCCTGGAGGGCCTGTGAAAATCAGGTGCTGGGTTTACCCCCAGAGATTCTGATTCAGTAAGGCTGGGGAGGCCCCAAGAATGTTTATTTCTAGCAAGTTCCCAGGTAATGCTGATGCTGCAGGTCCAGGGATCATACCTGGAGAACCTATGCCCTGATGTATCCCAAAGCCCTCATCTTATAGTTGAGAGCATTGGGGCCCTCAAAGGAGAGGCCATGAGTGCAACCCAGGTCTCTTGACTGGAAAACTAGAATTCCCTTCCCAAGAGAGAGGTTAAATAAAAAAGAAGAAAAAGACAGAAAGGAAGGGAGAGAGGGAGGGAGGAAGAAAGAAAGAAAAGACATTAACGAAGAGAAAGCATAAAAAGCTCTTTGAAGTCTGAGGGTACATAGGGAGGGCACATGTTTGACTTGGGTGGGGAGTTTCTGGGCTTGAAACGGGACCATGACCTTAGTTCTGTCACCTGCTGGAGAGCAGGAGAGCCCGTGTCACAGCAGCAACTCAGACAAAATAACCGACTCTTGTGCCCTGAAGACCCCTCTGGGCACACCGGCCCTCAATCCACTATTAGCAGCCTTGGTGGCTATATGTGCTGTCCCCAGATGGGCCCGCGGGCATGCAGGAGGGTGTCCTCCTTGATGGAACTGCCTGAGAGAAGGTCTCAAGGAGACACAGAGTCAGAGGC